TGTGGGTGTGTGTGTGTGTGTAGGGTGTGTGTGTGTGTGTGTGTGTGTGTGTGTGTCCCCTTCTCCTTGTCTCTGTTATTAACCTCTCCTCCTCCTCAACTCAGGAGCTGGCTTTCCGGCTGTCTCAGTCAGCAAGAGCCCCATGGTGGAGCAGGCTGTCCAGACTGGTTCTCTTGATAACCTGAACACCAAAAAGCTGTTACCTGGCAAGGGCACCGCGGGGATGCAGCTCAACGGGCGCCCAGCCCTGCCAAGCAGCAAGGCTGCCAGCGGTACTTAAATGCTCACTCCCCTGGAGTTTGTTCATGTTCTCAGTGGCACAGCGCTTCCTGGGGTTCTTTTTTTATCCTTTAATTAGACACCCCCGCCCTGTAGGCTTTTGCAGGGCCGGCTCTTGCGCAGTCCCCGGTGGCGCCGCCCTGCTCCCGTCGCCAGGCTCTGCTCCTGTCCCTGGGCTCTGCTTTCGCAGGCGCTTTGCCTTACTCTTCCTTTTTGCGCCTTAGATGTAGCTCAGCCGGCAGCTGGGCAGACTCAAGGGCAGGTGAATGACGAGAACAGAAGACCTCAGAGGAGGCGATCAGGTAACGGCTGTTGCCACTTGAGTTCTGGGGAGCCGAGAACCACCCAGTCGCGCTCCGCTTACCGCTCCTGCCTGCTTCTCCGTGGGTGACGGTTTCAGGGTGCTGGGCTCAGCGGCAGCTTCGGTGTGCTCTGTCCCCGCTTTGTCTGCTGTCTCACACCGAGTAATGTTGAGTTAGTGGCTTACCAGCCAGGGCTGTCCTTTCCTTCTCACAGGGAACAGACGAACAAGGAATCGCTCCAGAGGGCAAAGCCGTCCAACTAACGTCAAGGAAAACACAATCAAGTTTGAAGGTGACTTTGATTTTGAGAGTGCAAATGCCCAGTTCAACCGAGAGGAGCTGGACAAAGAATTTAAGAAGAAACTGAATTTTAAAGGTTTGAAAATTTGCCCCACCCTAGGAGTGTCCACGGCGCAGGTCAAGGAGAGCCGGGCAGGGGCGGGGGCAGCTGGGATGGTGGTTGGCGGGGAAACCGTGCTGTCTGAGGAGTTCCCAGAAAGGAGAGGAGTCGCGGGGGAGGCCCGTGCTCGGGGGATGAGAGCGGGTTGCAGGGCCCAGGGGTGGACAAGGCCAGCGGCCAGCAGAGCTTTCCGCGTAGTGCCGGGCACTCCCAGCTGCTTCCCTGAGGCCTGAGGACAGCGCCTGAGTGGCCCCGCGAGGACCTGTCCCGGTGGAAGGTGCTTTGTTTGCTCCTTGGCCTCTCCGTGCTCTGCTTCTCTGTGTAGACGACAGAGCTGAGAAGGGGGAGGAGAAGGACCTGGCGGTGGTGACGCAGAGTGACGAGGCGCCTGCTGAGGAGGGCCACCTGGGGCCCAACTGCTACTATGACAAATCCAAGTCCTTCTTTGACAACATTTCCTCTGAACTCAAGACCAGGTCAGGGGGCTGGGGGGCCGGGCAAGGCCTGGGGGAGCTGACGGGAAGACACTCTGCCCCCAAACTCTGAGACTGGGGCACGCTCTCTTGGAGACCAAACCCAGATCTTAGGTTCAAGGCAAATCTCTTAGGCTCACATTTCTACCGTAATGGGTACGTCAGGCCCAGCGGTGCCAGCGGTAGGTGGTGGTGTGGGAAGCCCTGGCAGTCACAGGCACCTGAGGGATCTGACCCAGGTCCCGGCCCCTCTTTGCTCAGCTGCCCCTTTCTCATCAAGGTTGGGCTGGACTACCCTCCCTACCGTGTTTATGTTCCCATTCTGTACCACCTCGCCTGGGCGTGCTTCTTGGTCTGACCTTGGTGGCCTGAGGCCCTTGCTACCTGAGGCAGCTGGCAGGAGTGTCCGCAGTATTCTTTCACCCACCTGATTGCTTGAGGCCAGGGACTCTGTCACGTGCTTTGTTTTTAGCACCCAACAGCTGGTGCTCAGATGTTGCCCGAGAACCAGCTAGACAGTAAACGAAGTCTACAGAATGGGCATGGTGTGGACACTCAGATCCTTTCGTTCACAAATGGAGTAGCAGGCACACTGTGGGCACTGGGGGAACAGCAGAAAGCAAGCCGGGAGGTCCCCATTCCCCCCACCACCCCTCTTAGGTTTTGGCAGGGGAAAGAGAACAAAAAAACAGGCTCACGAGATAACATCTAGCAGTGAGGCGGGAGAGGTTGGGGCGTGTGTTGGGTGTGAGGGCAGTGGAGCGCCGAGGTCTCGGGTGAGGTTCGGGAGCCAGTGGGAGGGTGAACGCAGGACGGGGTGCAGGGCGGAGGCGGGCACGTGCAGCTGCTGTGTGGCTGGAGCGGAGCCTGGGGGGGGTCAGGGAGGAGCGATGAAGATGGGACGGTTGCTGCCGGGCTTTGTAGGTCACGGTGACAGCTGGCTTGGGGAGAGCAGTGCTGTCTAAGGTTTCACTGCTGCTTTGTGGAGAGTGGGCAGAGGTGGGGCAGGCATGGAAGCTGAGTGGTCACGTCAGAGGCTTTGGGGTAGTGGGCAGTGCTGGAGGAGCGGAGAGAGGTTTGGCCTCTGACATGCCCTGAAGGTTTGCTGATGGGCTGTGAGGAGAGCCTGGATGGCTGAAGGCTGCGCTTGCTGCTGCTTGGAGTGAGGAGGTTGGGGGGGGCAGCAGAGCAGGGGGTCGGGCTGGGTGTGTTGCATGTGAGCTGCCTATAAGCAGCCTCGTGGCACACAGTTGGACACCGGGGGGTCCTTGCTGGAGGTGCAGAAACGAGTGTTGGCAGCGTTGGTGCTGCGTCTGCACCTCCCCCAAAGCGTACGTGTCATAGCCTTGGGGACCCTGCTCCGTTTAGCCCAGTCCCCTCCTCATCTCTGGAGACTCGTCTGGAGGGGTCCGTGATCTGCTCCAGGCCTCAGAGCCTGCACGGGCCCTGGGCCTAGCGAGCAGGGAGGGCTTCCTTCGTAGCACGCTGCCGTTGTGTGCTGGCCTCAGATGACGCAGGTGTGAGAGGTTTATACTGAGCAGCCCCGTCCAGTGGGAGACAGGCCTGGTTTGAAATTGGGCTGGGAGCCCCTGCAATGTTGACTCTCAGGCTCCAGTGTCCTGATGGGATTGCCCCCCCCAGTGGCTCCAGTGACGAGTCACCATCTGTCCGTCTGTCCTTTCTCCCTCCCCAGGCTGTGTGAGGCCGGGGCCTGGCTCGGAAAGCTGTGAGGAGGTGCCCGCTGTAGTCGGTCTCATGCTCCTTGTCTTGGTTCAGTTCCAGGCGGACGACGTGGGCTGAAGAGAGGAAGCTCAACACGGAGACCTTCGGGGTGTCGGGAAGGTTTCTTCGTGGCCGTAGTTTCCGGGGCGGATTTCGAGGGGGCAGGGGCAACGGTGCAACCCGTCGTAACCCGACTTCCCACAGAGCTGGGACTGGCAGGGTGTAAGGAGGCAGCTGAAGGTGAGTGAGGGGAGCTTTGGGGTCCTTTAGTGGGAGGGCATCCGGACGGGGCTGCCCAGGTAGGAGCCGCCTCTTCAAGAGGAGCTTAGGAGCCGGTGAGCATTGGTATCGAGGCCAAACTGAGGCCCCAACCCTCTGAGTGAATCCCCTAGGGGGCTCTTGGGGACGGTGGGACCCAGGCCCCGGGGTTGTCAAAGTGAGGGTCCAGGTGCAGGAGGGCTGGGTGCTCCTCACTCCGGTGTGGTCAGGAAGGAGAGATGGTTACAAGCCAGGCCTCAGCTCCAGCCTGGCCTTGCACTGACCTTGAGTCTGAATTTTTAACTAGGTCGAGGGTGACGTGTGTGCCCCTTAGGGTCTGGGCGTGAGTGCGCTTCGGGTGGGACCTGGAGCTGCCCCCCCCACCCCCCCCGGTGTGAACAAAAACGATGACCTCGGGTTGTGATGGGAAGGTCTGGGAAGCCCCAGCCTGACTTGGGGTGGGAGGGAGGTTC